CCAGGATGTTGTTGAAAAAGGGGTGAAACGGTGAGGGTAGGAGGCGAAGAAAAAATCCAGAGACTCAAGAAGCCCTTCCCCCAGTTCCTCCGGTGGGCCAGCCATGGTGACTGGTTCCGCCTCTGCTGAAGTCTAAAGCTGTCAAACCTGCTTCACTAACACTTTTTTTGTTAAAAAAAAAATTCAAATATTTAGAAAACACACAACTATTGTAAAGAAAAATTCGAACTAGATATATGTTGTTGTTGTCTTCTGGAAGCAGATTACCAGACCTGTTTTCTGAAGCATCTCTGGGTGGATTTGAACTGCCAACCTTTCAGCTAGTAATCGAGCTCTTGACTGTTTGTGCCACCCAGGGAATGTGTATGTAACCCAACCAACCCATTGCCATGGAGTCAATTCTGACTCATAGTGACCCTATAGGACAGAGTACAAACGCCCCATAGAGTTTCCGAGGAGCAGCTGGTGGATTCAAACTGCCGACCTTTTGGTTAGCAGCTGAGCTCTTAACCACTGTGCCATTAGGATTCTCTCTCTCTCTCTCTCTCTCTATATATATATATATAGACCATACTGTTTGTGTCACTCAGGGACACTGTCTCTGTGTGTGTGTGTGTGTGTGTGTGTGTGTGTGTGTGTGTATATGAAAGGAGCCCTGGTAGTGCAGTGGTTAAGTACTTGGCTGTTAACCAAAAGGTTGGCGGTTTGAACCCACCAGTCTCTCCGGGGGAGAAGGATGTGGTAGTTTGCTTCCGTAAAGATTATAGCCTTGGAAACTGTATGGGGCAGTTCTACTCTGTCCTATAGGGTCTCTATAAATCAGAATCAACCCAATGACGATGATATATACATATAACATATTTAAAATCAAACCAAACCAGTTGCTGTTGAGTCGATTCTGACTCATGGCGACCCTGTATGTGTCAGAGTAGAACTGTGCTTCACAGTTTTCAATGGCTGAGTAGCTTTTCAGGGCTTTCCTAGTGGACCTAGGGAGATATAGATGATAGACAGATAGACAGACAGATTGATAGATAGATAATCTTCCATCACCTCCTGCCTGGGCAAAATAATTGTCTTCTTACTGGTCTCTGTGGCTTTGGTCTCACAGACCCCAATCAACAGCCGTACAGTTCTGTCTTAAGAACAGATCTGACTAGTTAAAACCCTTCAATGGCTCCTTACTCCTCAGATCAAATGCAGACTCCCTACCATGGCTAATACGGCCCTTCATGATCTGGCTGTGATCCCCCCATTCAGCCCCTTTCCTTCTGAGGCTCTAAACTCCAGCTATCTTCAGGTAGTCCAGGCTATTCTCTGTCCTGCCACACCTCCTCCCCTCCCTCAGCTCCCTTGCCTGGCTAAATCCTAGTCATGCTGTGCCTCTAGTAATGTCCCAGTCCCTATGTGATGCTCCCACAGCCTCCCGTGTGTCCGTTATTACACCTGATCACACCAAAGCTACCTGTCTTCAAGTCTGTCTTCCTCTTCACGGCGGGGAAGGAATTATTTATTTAATTCACCACCCAATTTCCTCCCCTGGCACAGAAAAGTCTCCTCCCCCCATCAGTGTTTGTTGCGGGCTGAATAATAATAATACCTAACATTTATATGGTGTTAATTCCACACCTGTCACTGTCCTAGGTGCTTAACATATATAAATTCATGTAATTCACACAGCAACCCCGAAGTTGATACATCTTCAATTTACCAATACAAAAATTAAAGCGTGGAGCAGTTAACTAACTTGCCTCAGGTACTAAGTGGCCGAGCTGGGGTTTGAACCAGGCACTTTGGTTTCCCATAAATGAATCTGGAAGGAAAAGGACAGGGCCCTCAGGGAAGGAATCCAGACAGGGCTTGATCTGTGTGCTTTGCATCTAAAGGTTTTCCTGTCCTCTCCCATTTTGCTCCGGGGGAGCTCATTTTATCAATTAGGAGACAGAGGCTGAGAGAGACCACAGATAACTCCAGGCATAATGTGGAAGAAGCCCTGGTATTTACCTGGGGGCCCAAGAGCGGGGCTGGCGCCAGGGTCGCGAGTCCTCCGCACCAAACTACAACTCCCAGAAGGCATAGGGCGCTCACAATCCGCGCGACGTAACGGCGGCATCGGGCGCAGGCAGCTCGGCTCGCCTGGCCGGTCGACTGTTCGGGCGGTTCCGTTCGGACCCCAGCCTTGGCTCTAGCCTCGCGGTAAGTGGAACAGCCCGCGCAGACCCGGCCCACCGAGGTTCCGCAGTGCGCGGCCGCTGTCTCCACTTTTGAGCGGGAGTGCGAGAGTGCGCGCGGATGGGGGGATGGGCGTTGGCATCTACCATATGGGGGCACCTGGGCCGAACTAAGTGATCCTGTGGAGAAGGAACCCAGAGAGGGACTCCCAGGCCGCAGCCTTGATGCAGCCGGCCGTTGATGCAGCCGGCCCTTGGGCGCACTGTACTGTGTGTAGCACGTACGTAGACCAGGCCGCCTTGCTCGGGTCTGAAGGCGCTGGGTAGGGGTCAGCCCCGCCCCCTGAGCGAGGGTCCCCAGGACTAGAGGGAATGGGGCGAGGTTTTCCAGCTGCATGGGTCTGAGGATCCGCTTCTCCTAGCAGACCTCTGCTAGATAAGAGATAGAGCCATCACCAGAAAGCAAGGTTGTCCGGGCTCATCTGTGTGTGTTACGGGATGTGGTTGAAACGGTAGGCAGAGATTGCCCAGGTCAGAGGAACCAGTGCACACGTGGAGAGGTGGTGCGGGTCGTCTGGACTCAGATCCTTACAACTCCCTCTTCCCCCGCCCCGGTAGATGGGAGCCGCTTCCCGGGGGCAGAGCTGGTCAGCATCCTCGACCTGCCCTCACACCTGAAGTCAGAGAAGAGCCCTACCCTTTGCCCCGTTTTGGGGTCTACTCTGTCTGTCTGGTCTTCAGCCCTAGTGGCTGCCCAGTTTGACAAAGGATCAGGACAATGATACTGGCGTCAGTGCTGGGGAGCGGTCCCCGGGGCGGGCCTCCACTCCGGCCCCTCCTGGGGCCCGCACTGTCACTCCGGGCCAGCTCCACTTCAGTCACGGATACACACCACGTGGAGATGGCGCGGGAGCGCTCCAAGACCGTCACCTCATTTTACAACCAGTCAGCCATCGACGTGGCAGCCGAGAAGGTGCGCAACTAGGGGGATGAGGCCCAGGGTCCGGAGCTGGAGCTGGTGGCCAGGGAAGGGACGGAGCTCATATGGCCGGGACGGGGTGTTGGGGGTCTACTGCTCAAGGCCCATCTGCTCCTCCAGCCCTCAGTCCGTCTTACTCCGACCATGATGCTCTATTCAGGACGCTCTCAGGATGGCAGTCACCTTCTGGTAAGATTCCTGTCCCTTATTCTTTCCTTGGCCCCTGGAACTCTGCCCCAGCCACTCAGGTCCTGAACCTGCCTTTCCTCCTCTTTTTCTTCTAGAAAAGTGGCCGGTATCTGCAGCAAGAGCTGCCAGTGAGAATTGCTCACCGCATCAAGGACTTCCGCAGCCTGCCCTTCATCATTGGCTGCAACCCCACCATCCTGCACGTGGTAAGGTGGCCTCAAGGGGTGTGAGTTTCCCTCATGAGGTAGGTCTTCCATCAGTATGCCTACCTCCATGGGGCAGCTGGGGTCTAGAGAGGCAGAGACTTGCCTGTCAAAAGGTTTCAGGGCCAAACAGGACTCAGCCCCAGCTAAGCCTTCAGAGGCCAAGGCTACATATTCACAGAAGCTTGAAGGGGCATGATGGGGGTTTCAACAAAGTGAATTGGTTGGGTGGTGATCTCCATGGGTAGGCATGGATAGCTGTTCACGGCAGCCCTGTGACTCCCCACACCTCTTCCTTGCAGCATGAGCTGTACATCCGTGCCTTCCAGAAGCTGACAGACTTCCCTCCGGTGAGGGCTGGGCCAGGGCAGGGTGAGGGGCTAAGCGGTCAGGGCTGACTGCTTGTGCTCACAAGTCTGTGGCCTGCAGATCAAGGACCAGGCAGAAGAGGCCCAATACTGTCAACTGGTGCGTCAGTTGCTGGATGACCACAAGGATGTGGTGACCCTCTTAGCTGAGGGCCTGCGTGAGAGCCGAAAGCACATAGAGGTCAGGGGCAGCCAGGGGGGCGCAGGCCTGGTTGTGGGGGCTGGGAAGGGACACAGGATTTCTGAGGCCCAACTCTTTACTAGAATGAGAAGCTTGTCCGCTGCTTCTTGGACAAGACGTTGACTTCACGGCTTGGGATCCGCATGTTGGCTACACATCACCTGGCACTGCACGAGGACAAGGTTGGGGGTGGGGAGCTGACACCTGAGACCCAGCTGGGAGTGTCAAGGGTGGCAGAGGGTACTGGGTCGGGTCCCCTTGGGTTGGAGACCTAGATCAAGGCCTGGAGGAGAGCATTTGGTGGATGAGGTGGGGGTGAAGGTATTGCCTAGTCCTAACCTTCTCTCTCCTGCCAGCCTGACTTTGTGGGCATCATCTGCACTCGCCTCTCACCAAAGAAGATTATTGAAAAGTGGGTGGACTTTGCCAGGTAAGGCTACAATAGTCAGTGGGGTGGATGTCTTGGGGCAGGGAAGGCTTGGGACTGAGCCCTGTCCTGGTGCATGATCTAGGGCAGGGTTTCTCAACCTTGGCATATTGACATTTTGGACCAGGTGATTCTTTGTTGTAGGGGGCTGTCCTGCACCTATTAGAATGTTTAGCAGCATCCCTGGCATCTACTCACTTGATGTCAGTACCACCACCACCACCCCCAGTTGTGACAACCAAAAATGTCTCTAGAAATTGCCGAATGTCCCTTCTGGGGGAGCAGAATCACCCCCTAGTTGAGAACCACTGGTCTAGGGATACCTGTCCAAACACTTGCTCCTATCCATAGACGCCTGTGTGAGCACAAGTACGGCAATGCCCCCCGCGTCCGCATCAACGGGCACGTGGCTGCCCGTTTCCCTTTCATCCCTATGCCACTGGACTACATCCTGCCGGAGCTGCTCAAGAATGCCATGAGGTAGGCTGGTCAGATATGTGGGGGAGTGGGGGAGGCAGGAAGTGGGGTGTCACCACCTACCAGGTCTGTCTATCCCCCTATATAGAGCTACGATGGAGAGTCACCTAGACACTCCCTACAACGTCCCAGACGTGGTCATCACCATCGCCAACAATGACATCGATCTTGTCATCAGGTTTGCCCTGAGTGGGGGTTGGGCTGGGGTGGACAGAGGTTCCAGGCACTGTTTCTGACTTAATGTATGACCTAAGCCAACACCTGCTCTACTCTAGGACTTGGTGTCTGGTTAGACAAGATACCCTGTGTCCTGAGATTCCCATGAGCTGGATATTAATGAATCTGGGGCCAGCTGCAGGCCCCTGGGCCCTGCGCCTGTCAGCAACTGAGGGGCCTGGAGATGGGAAACAGTCAGGAGTAAGCAGTCAGTGGTGCTGGGCTGAGAGTAAATATCAAGTCCTGTGAGAAGGTATAAGCAGTCAGTGTCCCATACATCAGTGAGGATGGAGAAAGGAAAGCAAGGCCCAGGGGTCTGAGTGGACAGCATTCTGCCTTTGGGTGGAGTGGACAGGAAGGCAGACTTCACACTGTCTGCTTGGGAGGTGGTGAGCCTGTGTCAAAGCTGAGCCAAGCCCATGTTATTGGCATCCTGCCAGGATTTCAGACCGGGGCGGGGGAATTGCTCACAAAGACCTGGATCGGGTCATGGACTACCACTTCACTACGGCCGAGGCCAGCACCCAGGACCCCCGGATCAGTCCCCTTTTCGGCCACCTGGACATGCACAGTGGCAGCCAGTCAGGACCCATGCATGGGTGAGGCCCCACCTGGCCAGGATGGAGGGGTGGGGAGTCCCAGGGGACTCAAGCCTCTGAAGCCTCCTGTCCTATCCCCTGCCCACCCTCAGCTTTGGCTTCGGGCTGCCCACGTCACGGGCCTACGCGGAGTACCTTGGTGGTTCCCTGCAGCTGCAGTCCCTGCAGGGCATTGGCACAGATGTCTACCTGCGGCTCCGCCACATCGATGGCCGGGAGGAGAGCTTCCGCATCTGACCCCAGAGTCCTTGGCCTGCTTGCCTGCCCAGCCTGGGCCATATTCTGCCAAGACCTTCCAGGTCAGGCAGCGTCCCAACATGCTCCATTTGCTGCTGTATCTTGGGTCTCAGATCCCCAGACAGATGGACTTAATGTGGAGCTGGGCACCCCCACCCTCAACAGGGTCCACTGTTTCCCTTCCTCCAGGCCTTTGAAAGGGGAAATGGGGACCCGTGAGGCCTCCAGCACCAGCTCCATCATTCTCGTTCCTGGGGGACCTCCCCCACTTGGACCTGCTGTTTATTATTAAAGTTCATATTTTGAATGCCCTCGTGGGCCCTGTGTGTGGGGTAGGCAGGTGAGTTTTTGCTTTTGTCCCTGGTTCTTGGGTTTAACTAGTTCGTGTCCCAGTTTCTCTGTTCCAACAGCCCAGCAGTAGAAGTGTCTCCAAGTCTCTTGCACATTTGATTTGGTGGGAGTGAGGGTGACTTTGACAGCTTGTGTAAAGACCTTTGTTTTATTTAACACGTTTATGGGTCCCAGACAATATTGAAGGCCCAGGCTGGCCCAGCTCCAGGCCTCAGTTCTGACTCTTCCTTTCCTGCCAGTCACGAGTTCTGGAAGTGAAGGTTACCAGACTGGGCCACCTGATTCCTGAGCCTGAGTAAGGTTAAAAATACTGCCTGCCAGCTGTGTCTACTGCCACCAAGGAAAGGAACATACAAGGTTGTTTCCTGGCACACCCCAGCAAGGACTGGGTCCCCCACCAGAAAAAGGTGGGGCTCTGGTTGGGGGCCAGGAAGCTGGGCAAAAGAAAAGGGCCCAAGATAACAGGTAGGCTCAAGGTTATGCTTGAAGCAGAACTTCCCTATGGGAAGGTGGGAACCCCTTGCTCATCTTGCCAGGGAAGGAGAAGGAACGCCTGTGGGCTTGTCTGGCAGGATTAAGGAAAAGTCTTACCTCTTTTTGTCTTCACATTTCTGAGCTCTGACAGCTAACTTCCTGAGGCTGGCTCTAGATCTACGCTATTTCCTACCCTTCAGGGTGATGGGTGGTACAGGAGACAGGAAATTGTATCTGAAGGTCAAATGGCAGGTGGTGGGAAACCAACCACATGATTTGCTGGGCTGAAAAACCTCTGTCTGCAGTGCAAGTTGATGAAACTGGAGAAATGGGTAGCAGTCAGAGGGTGTCGGGCCTTGAATGTGCAGCCAAGAAGCTTGGGCTTTATTCTGGAGGCAGTGAGGATCCATGGACAGGTTTTAAGCTAAGAAGGGATGTCTCTGGTTGGATTCCCTAGAAGTAGACCCTGAGAGGATTCGTGTCCAAGTGATCTGTTAAGAACCCGCTCCCAGGAAAGACCCAGAGAAGGAGTAGGGGAAGCAGGGGACGGGAGGAAGCCAAGGAGGGATGAGATCTCCAACAAAATTCTGGGAGCCAGAAAGTTATGCCTTGGAGTTGGAGGTAAGGGAGCTAATTAAGCTCACCAGCATTGATTCACTCCTCCACTTGACAATCATTCATTAATGGCTATGCTGGGAACTGGGAGTGGGTATGTACTTAAATTCCCAGGTTGAAATCTTTTCAGCATTTCCAGGCAAAACAGCTCTATTAGTTGGAAGGCAGTTCGCCAAAGAAGACCCTCAGTTGCTGGCCTTTGAAAGCACCTCGAAGAGAATTGAGGCATACAAAGAAAACGGATCCTGGGGATCTGGGCAGAACACCTACATAGTCCTAAGAGGAACAGTCACATTTGCATGTTAGAAGAATCACTGGTGGCTGGTGGATTGGAGAATAAGGAGGCTGATGCAGTGACCTTGGTCAGGGAATTGTAAGGCCTAGGCTAATCCCTTAACTAGAAAGGATAGCATCGGTAACTGAATGGGTCCGGTTAAGTCAAAAGTGAGGCACCAGGACCCTGGGTGGGTGGAATAACAATCTTGAAGATAGGAGAGGGGTGGGGAAAGTTATTGGAATTTTAACTTTTTTCTGCCTGTTTTTTGGTTCTTATTTCTTATGCTGCCAGACCCCTGGCATTCACTGGCCCCCAGACTCCTCCATTTCTCACAAGCCAAGTTATCAGCACTTCCTACTGCCATCCCCCACAGATACCCAGCTCTGATGTTTCTTGATCTGTAAGCTCTGAGTCCCATCATCAGGCCTTGAGCATCATACCCCCCTCAGGGTTATTTCTAAGTCCAATAACCAAATTATAAATGAAAGAAAGCTCGGAGAATTGTCAAAGGTAACGTTTATTGAGCAGCTATCCTGCCTGGGCTAACGCGCTTGGATGCTAACAAAGGGTGGAGGTTCCAGACTACCCAGAGACACCTTGGAAGAAAAGTCTGAAAAATCAGTCATTGAAAACCCTATGGAGCACAGTTCTACTCTGACACGTGGGTTTACCCTATCTGGCACTGTCCAGTACTCTTGTATGTGTGGCATGTGTACACACACATATCTGGTTACCTTTGCCAATGCTGAGAAAACAGATATATCTCTGTACATTCCACCTAGCAGAGTCATACTTCAGGATTCCTGACTCGAGCCCAAGACACTCTCCGTAGTACCCGCTGCCTTTGGCTAGTTTCTGTTCAGGGGACTTCTAATTTTGGGGGCCTGAGCCTTTCTTTAGAAAGGTTATATTCTGTGAGGGTGACTTACTGGCTTTTCCTGATATACCCGTCCAGCTTCCCCCACCCCAACTGTATATTCTTTTCAGCTGAGCAAGAGAGAATCTAGAATCTGCAAAAATAGGTGTGACCAGTATTGGGCTGGAGGAGGTGGGCAGCGCGGGGAGAGAGGGGGCCTGAAGCCCAAAGGGTCACCTGCGACATTCTCCATACCTCGATGTCAGGCAGGCAACTGTGGAGTGGGGCAGCGCCCTGATATTTGCCACATCTTGGCTTCCTCTGGCACCGAGGACTTTAAAAAGATTAAGCTGAGTTAAACCACATGAGGGAAGTCTTTCTCCTCTCTTCAAGTCTAGGAGGCAGCCATATTTCCATACGGAAAATAAGGAACTCAAAGGCAACTCGCAGAGTAAATGTCAAGCTTGTCCGGGCGCCGCGGGGACGGCCACACAAACCAGTGAGGTCCCACCACATCACAGAGCCCACCGCAAAGTTTGATGCTGCCTCCGCCACGCCTTGCTGACCCGGAGGTAAAGAGCTGCGCGGCGCCGCATTCTGGCGTCACTTCCACCACAGCCATGGCGGCACAGGGAGCAGCTGCGGCGGTTGTGGCGGCGACTACAGGGGTTGCGGGGGAGGGAGAGCCCGGGCCCGGGGAGAATGTGGCCGTCGAGGGGACCGCCCCGTCCCCGGGCCGCGTCTCTCCTCCGACCCCCGCGCGCGGCGAGCCGGAAGTCACCGTGGAGATCGGAGAAACGTACCTGTGTCGACGGCCGGATAGCACCTGGCGTGAGGGCGGGGCCCAGGGCCGGGGTTTAAAGGACGAGGGGGCGGGGCCTGAGAAGGGGTTCTAAGAGGGATCCAGTGCTAGGGGCCGGGAGTCGTGGGTGGTGGAGACTGAGACGGAGAACACCGAGTTGCGGACTCCAAGAAGCCAGCTCAGTAATCTTGGACTCATTCCTGGGCGCCACTGCAAACCCCACCAGTCAGGCGATCACCAAATTCTTCATATAGTATGTAGAGCTCCCATTCCACTCCCTTGCCCAGTCTTAGGCTTCGTTTCCTTTCTTGTTAACCCAACTTCCTCACCGGTCTCTGGTCTTTGCGTCTGCCCCTTCCACCTCTCCTCTACAGACGCCAGCAGAGAGGACCTTCAGAACACAAAAATGAGCTTCCCCTTCTCTTCCCTTCTATTGCTTTCCCTCATCTTCATAATAAACCCCAAACGCCTTAGAATGGAATTCATCTGAGTGACCTGCTGATTTCTAGCCACTCCGAGTAAAGGCCGTTGTCAGACCTGCTGTGTTCTCTGAGGACCATATGCTTTTTACCCCCTAGGCCCTCTGCTTGGAATGTTCTTTTTTCCCTTTCTTCTTGTTCACCTGACTAGCTCTTACTCATCTTTAATGTCATATGCTCTGTGATGCCGTTCCTGACTCACTTAACACAAAGTGAGCCATTCACTTCTGTATGTTCCCACCACATTTTCTTCATACCTCAGCTGTGGTATATGTAACATTGTTTTGTAATTGTCTGTCTTGCCCTATTAAAACAGAGCTTCTGGGGAGTTGGGGATAGGACCTGTTTTGATTCATTGCTGTGTCCTCTGTACCCGCCAACACAGCATAGGGCCAGTCGTGCAGTGGTTGCTTTACTCATTTACGGAATGGTTTGTTAGATGTCAGGCACTGTGCTAAAAACTTTACAGGCATTAACTCACCCTCTGTAATGGGCACTATTTCTATTTTACAGACAAAGAAACTGAGGCTCAGAAAGCTGAAATACTTGCTCAGTTACATATAGCTAGGAAGTGGGAGAGCTAGACTATAAACTCAGGCTGTCTGAATCCAGAGCCAGCCTTCTTGAACCCCTGAACAAATGAATGACTGAGTATATATAGTAAATTGAGCATTGAATTTGGAGTGAGACTTAAATTCAGCTAAGTATTAACAGCCCTAGCCTGGCCCACCTCACAGGGTTGTAGCAGTGATTGAATGGAATGGCAGATGTGGATGGGTGAGGTAGGTTATGTGTGGCCCTGGAATCTGGAAACTGCCCCTCAGTGTACGGGATCCCTCTTGTCTCAGCCCTGCCTTTCCTTCCTGGTGATCCTATCCTTTTTCCTTCACAGATTCTGCTGAAGTGATCCAGTCTCGAGTAAATGACCAGGAGGGCCGAGAGGAATTCTATGTACACTACGTGGGCTGTGAGTGGCTTGGGACATCCAGGGCCTGGGTGGGAGGAGAAGGATAGCAGGGCAGCACCCTCACGGCCCATCCCCACAGTTAACCGGCGACTGGATGAATGGGTAGACAAGAACCGACTGGCACTGACCAAGACAGTGAAGGATGCTGTGCAGAAGAACTCAGAGAAGTACCTGAGTGAGCTGGCTGAGCAGCCCGAACGCAAGATTACTCGCAACCAAAAGCGCAAGCATGATGAGATCAACCACGTGCAGAAGGTCCGGGCCCCCTCCCCTTCCCTGGGGCCCCAGGAATCCCAGCTACCTCTGCCAACTCCCATGGGCCTCTTGGGCACCAGTGCCAAAACACAGCAGCTCTCATTTCTTAAGCTCTTACAGTGTGTCAGGGCCTTTACCTACCTCCTTTCCTTATTCCTCACAGATGAGAAAACTGGGGCTCAGAGAGGGTAAGGGCTTGGCTATAGTGTCATAGCAAGGAAGTGACATATCTGAAACTGAAACCCAGTCTTCTTCAGTTGGCTGTGCC